GGGGCGAGCGGGCGGCACCGCGCGGAGTAGGGCGAGTCTGGCCACTAGGAGCGCGAGCCCGGCCAGCCCGGCAGGGATCGGGCGCCCCGCGGGACCATGCAGAGGTCGCCCCTGGAAAAGGCCAGCGTCATCTCCAAACTTTTCTTCAGGTGAGGGAGGGGTGGCTCGCCCAGTGGAGGGAGGACACGTGCCCAGACCGGCGTGGGGGCGTGTGCCCGGGCTGGGTTTGGGGGGGAGAGGGATCACTTTTGGGGGTGGGGGGTGGGGGGAGGGTGAAGAGAAGATGCGCTAGCGCACCATCGTTATGAAAAGGTGATTCCCGTGGAATGAACTAGAAAGCACGAAGGAAGGGATGCACGGATGACCCAAACATTGCTGGGCTAGAGAGCACCGGGAGGGTGGGCTCCTGGTAACCCACAGTCAGGCTTCAAGATCCAAATGGGCTCTTGTGCAACGATTCTGTTTGATTTTCTAGAAACTACACATTATGAAGTTGTCCATAGCACATTTTTCACTTTGGCCCACGGCTTTGCAAACTTGTCCCTACCCTGCAAGGGTATCTTCCTCGACACACTGGCGGGTAGGAGGCGCGCAGACAGCGTTGGTTGCTTGCATTTTTCTTAATTTCTTTGGGGTGGCGGCAGCGGCGGCATGGACTTTCGGTAAAGTTTTTGGTTGTTGGGATACCCAGTCAATCTCATGGCACTGTTGGCCACAATTCCTTATTCTTCCTGTTAAGAGTGAAGGCACATCCTTTGAAATAGTTTTCCTTTTCGAAAAAGCCACTTCGGTGAACTAGTCATTTTAACAGGGAGTCAGAAGGATCCGATGTTGAGCCACGAGGATAGATACTGAAGATCTATCCAGCTCACATTTAACAAATGGTACTTTCATCCAACTTTTCATGTCAAGAGCTATCAAAGCTTGCAAACTTCCATTAGTGAGACTTAAAAATAGAATTCAGTCTTAAGCAAAGCATAATTCGATGTAGCATTTCAAGTCTGAAGTGTTCTTTGAAGACTGAATCCCCTTGGATCCTTTCAGTACACTGTATCAATGAATAGCTACAGCTCTCTCATGGGATATAGCCTGACTCATACTTCTCCTGTGAATCAGCATACTTAAGTACCAGAAAAGACAAATACATTGTCAGAACGCACATAGCTTTGTGTGTGGGGAGGGCGATCGGCTTTCACTTTTTTCTCATGCCCTGGTCTCTGCCAGTGCAGTGAAGCCTGGGAGGCAGGTACTAAAAGAGAGGCCACTTGGCCTTGAATGAGAGCACCACCCTGTGGATGGGAGAGAAGGACTTTATTCTTTGGAATCACTGTGTGTGTGGTTACTCCATCAATAAAAGGGGCTTGTCTAGCGAGCTATTGTTCTACCACTTCACCAAATCACTGTTGCCCTCGTAGCGAAGTGGTTAGGTGCTGGGTTGGCTGCTAACACAGAGGTCGGTAGTTGGAAGCCACCAGCAGCAGGAGAAAGATGAGAAAGTTGTCTTCCATAAAGATTGTAGCCTTGGAAACCCTGTGGGAGAGAGCTCCTCTGTCCTACAGGTTCAGTATGCATCAAAATTGACCAGATGGCAGCTGGTTAATCAGAATGCAGATGAGTGCAAATCATAGAGTCTTTAGTAGAACATTTTGAGAACTCTAAATGCTGATCTGTGTAGAAATAGTTTTCAAAGAATGAACTTACATGGGTGCTTGTAAATTTGAAGTACAAAGAAACACTGAAGTACATGCTTGTTGATCTATCGAAGTAAGTTTCCCCTCCCTTTATGTCATCGCATAGATCAAAAATGCCTTCTGCTTGATTGGGAAATAAATATATTTCAATGGTGACTTAAATTTGTTAAGAGCATACTCATCCACGTTCTCCAAACTATTTCATAACAAGTTGCTCTAAGAATAGGTGTGTGCTTTCAAAAAAGTTAAGTTCACACTATAAATAGGAACTGAAGATCGTCTAAAGTCCTGGTGATTATAAACTTCCTTCTGGGTAAGCCCATATGGCTTTGTTCCCATAAGTGGCAGGAAGCTTTGAGTTCACACTGCTTTGATTCGTAATTCCAGAACTACTGCTTAGTAGCTGTGTGACGTGAGGCAAGCTGTTTAACCTCTCTGAGTCTCTGTGACTTGACCTCTAAGGCTTGGTGTCTCATACGACCCATGTCCTAGGGGTTAATCAGCTGGGAATGTGCTTATTATAGTTCTAGCCCAGTAAATGTTAACCTATTCTTCTTATTTACTCTATCTTAAAATTCTTCACAATACACCCCTTTTGTATATCTTGATTCATCTTTGGTGAATTCAGTTTTGTGATTATCAGTCTATATATGAAATTAACAGGCCTAGGTGAGAACGTAGGAGACCTAGTGTGGTAGTAAGTTATTTGGTCAGGCTGCTAAGCACAAGAGCAGCAGTTTAAAGTCACCAGCCGCTTGTTAGGAGAAAGAGAAGGCTTTCTACTCCCATAGAGAGTTCTAATTTCGGAAACCCATAGGGACCATTCTATTCTGTCCTGTAGGGTCAATCTGAGTAGGAATTGACTTCATGGCAGTGAACGGATTTCGGATGAGAATTTAAAGAGCCCTAGAGCCCCAGGTGGGAGAGTGGTTACCGGATGAGCTGCTCAGCCCAAATTTTGCAGTTTGAGACCACCAGTCCCTCCTCGGGACAAAGACGAGGCTTTCTACTCCTGCAAAGAGTTATTGGCATCTCAGTAGCCTGCAGAGACAGTTCTTGCCTCTCATAAGGGCCTCAATGAGTCTGAATCTACTCAGCGACAGGGAATTTGGTTTTGGTTTTGGTAGCACTGTAAAGAGACCTGCTGTCGTGGGTTATGTGTTAGGCTGGTAATTGCAAGGTCTATAGTTTGAAACCACCAGTTGCTCCACAGAAGAAAGATGAGGCTTTCTATTCCCGTGAAGAGTTACCATTTTGGAAACCCACAGGGCTCTCTGTGGTTGTTTTGAGTGAGAATCTGTTTCCCGGCAGTGCATGGGGAGTGTTTGGTGACACGGTGGGTTAGGCACTGGACTGCTTACCACAAGGTTGATGGTTGAAACCCACCAGTATAGGGTTGCTATGAGTCAGATTCAACTCAATGGCAATAGTTATGTGAGAATTTAATTTGGGCAAGATCTCCTCTCACATGACCTTACCAGCTATAGCGGAAAGAAATCATATGGTCTCATGGATGCTGTTGAATGACTTAGTAGTAAACTTTCTGAACATGAAAGGAGTAAGTTTGTTGTGCTTTGGGCTGACATTAATTATCTTTCCCATTGTCTACATTTTGTTACTGGAAAAGGAGTACAGGAATACAGTTTAGGGGGAAAAAACCAACAACAAAGCATTTTCTTAATCTTGCATGGAATTTATGCTAAGCGTAGAGTTTGAATGACTCTGAATTGTCCTAATGCTAATACATGAGTCTTCTTTTAAAAATAAATATAACCTAAAAGAATGTCACTATAATTATCTTAAGCAGTTTATGAATACCATGGAAAACAAGTGTGTTTGGTTGAAGATATTATGAAAGCAATATTTATGTAACAGGAAGGTGTTTTTTACAATAGAGGAGATGCATTTGCATAGGATTTATGACTCATATCCCATTGGGATGCATTTACATATGTGTACCAACAGCTCAGTAACCCTGGTGGCACAGTGGGTAAGTGCTTGGGTTGTATTTGAGCCATTCCCTGGGAGAAGGATGAGGCAGTTTTAGGGCCAATGAAGAAAGAATGTTAAGACCCAAGGTGGAAATGCAGAACAGAATGGCATATTCTAAGTCTCAGGACACGCTTATCTAGGATACTTTTGTAACTATCTAACACTGTGTACTGAGCGATTTAAGGATGAATATACTAGAAGGTATACGACAGAATGGGTGCAGTAGTTCAATATAGCTGCCAATAAAAATTAAAAATGATGTTAATGCAAATATCATCCCTTTGATTAAGGTGCTTTGAGTCTCGGTTTTGTTTTTCTAATTTCTTTAAAAAATGGTTTGGTAATTTCTTTTCAGAAATGCAGGATTGCATTGTTTAATGTCTATTCGGGCAATATCCAGCTGCATATACAGCCATGGTCCCATAGTGTTTAATCTTTTTGTTTGTTTGTTTTTTAAGAGACAACAGCTTTCCTTTTTCTGATGATTTCTCTCTAATAGTTTTAAAGGCCCCAACCCCCGAGTCTTGCAGCGCTGACCCACGATGAGATACAGGCAGGTGAGGCAGGGGACATAGCTCTGTGCACAGGCTTCCAAGCTTTGTCCAGTGGGCAGGTGGACAGTAGTAGCAGGAGCTGCAGGGTGTGGTCTCCTCTTGACGCTCAGGTGGGTGGAAGGGCAGGTGGCGCTGGGTGCTCTCCTTTGCCACCCTACTGCCTTCCTCTCACGAAGCTTTTCATGTCCTCCGTGGCCGCCAACACTTCTTCCTCCGACTTCCACCAGCAGCTCCAGCAGTAGCAGCAAGCGTGGCAACAAGGAAGACTGGGAGTGGGCTTCCATGATGGTGTTTACACGGCCACCACATCACGACCACCCTGTTTCACAGGACAGATCACGGGTGCTAACGGTATACCGGCGTATGCTAGCTTCACTACGTAATGTTGTTATTGGGTGCCGTTGAGCTGCTCCCAATGCACAGTGATCCGAGAGGCCAAAGAGAGCTGTCCCACAGAGTGTAACCCTCATAGGAGCAGATGGGCTGGGCTTTTCTTTCATAGAACCATGGGTTGGGTTCAAACCGTTGACTTTTTGGTTGGCAGCCAAGTCCTGACTATTGTGCCAGTGGGACTCCTTCATTGTTTTATAGTCATTGTTTTATAGACATCATTCTCTTTAGATTAAAAAAATTATATTGCCCAGCCTGCTCATTTGGACTTGCTTATAACTGACTTTTGATTAGATCGTAAAATCAAATCCATTCCGAAAACATAGAGTTTCTTTCCTCCTTTGTTCATGATACACTTTCATAGTCAAGTGCTGCCCACGTTCATGTATTTCATTCCAACGAGCACACTGCCAGCTCGAAAGACCGAGGGAAACAAGAGTGTTTTGAGGATAAGTGCGCTGAGCAGTGGAAGCATAATTATAGCACATACCCAGTGAAAAACATCCATCAAGATGATTATTT